GCAGGCGTCGTGTGTTCCCAGAGTTGGGTAGTCCTCGCTTGGGTTCTCATGTAGTTGGAACTTGTGTGTAGTCGGCCGACAGTCAGAGTCCACACCCTGCACCGTCACCTCGGGCTTGTCACTGTCAGGCCCGTACTTCATGATGAACGGGGACAGGCGCGCACTCAACCCGCCTCCAAAATCGTCGCCGCAGTCGACGTAGCGGGTCTCCATGTGAGACATGGCTCTCCTGATCTGCGCATGGACACCTGCGATGCCAAGCTATGAGAGGGCAACATAAATAACACAGAGGGACACAAGGAAAGCGAGTCGGGGGGGTGATTTATCAAACAATCAGTGTTGTGCTTAAGCTCCCACAATATAAATGCATTGACATACACACACAGAAGCCACACATACAAGAACTAGACATCATGAGAAGTGCAGCACACGCTGAAAGGACTTGTTGCTCACCTCTCGCTGCCGAAAGGACTTGTTCAAGATGTTCAGCTGCTCGAGCACGTCCGCAAGGAAGAACAACAAGAAATGGAACATGTAGCTGGTGGCGAGCTCGTTCAGAGTTTCGTCCCACTCATACAGCATGACGATGAGAGCAGGGAAGACCGTCACCGTTCGCAGAATGGCATTACCCCTGGAGAGCTAGCGGACTTGATGAATGCCTTGAAGCTCCAGGTTCGTAGCCGTGAAGAGTTCCTGCAGCTCCAAAAATCGTTGGTGCCAGGGGCTGGAACGGCCGAGATACTCTGCGACTTGACGGATCAGTCTGTCCACCATGTCGAACTCGGGGATTGCCTCCACTGCATCTTTTGTCGCGAGGGCCTCCCTGCAGGCACATCACAACACAAACATGCAACACGGGGTATCAGCAAGTCCGAGATACGGATAATCAGGATTGGCGCTAGTACAAAAACGAACGTACCTGTGGGCTATGCAGTGGCTTGAGACGAGATGCGGTATGCGGAGGCGCAGTCGAGCAACAAGACCATTCTTGCTTCCCATCATCACACTCGCGCCATCGGTGCTCATACCAGCGATCTTGGCAAGCTCGATGCCGAGGGCCTTAAGGTGGGACACAAACACGTAGAGGAGAGAGGCGGCGTCGCACTTCTCCACGGTCAGAAGGGCAAGGAACTCGGTGACGACGCGATTCTCACGGATGAAGGTCGCGAAAATGATCATGTGCTTTCCCCGGCACCTGTCCGTGCTCTCGTCACAAGTAACTCCGATGTAAGGACTTGTAAGGAGGTGCTGGAGTTGCGTTGTGTGCAACCACGTGGCAATCGCTTGTGTTAGTTGCCCAAAGCCGTACCTGTGGAGCATGTGAGCCAATGTTAGTGCTTACACAAAAGATAAACAAAAGCAACATCATGAACAATATCTGACAGCGGGTACTCACGTTGTGTAATAGGTTTGGTATCCCTTCATGGGGAATCCCGGAACCTTCTTCACCGCAAGATAGCAAACAAGACGCACCCATAACTCAATGGGTGCATCTTGCTTGGTTACGAAGAGCAGAAAGTCGCACAGCTCGATGACGCGTTCCTTCTCGGTGTCGCGAGCGAGGTTGTCACCGTTGATCCGTGGCTGCCGACCAGCTTCGACAAGAAGCTTTTCCTGGTGCTTGACCGCCTCCTTGTGCTTCGTTGTTGCAGCATGCCTCTTGAAAGCATGCGTCTGTACGTCCGAGGCGCCCCTCCCGCCCTTCCCGCACTTTCCAGCGTAACCTACATGCTCAGTAGAGATAGAGCACTTGAAAGCTGGGAGACCGTCAGATTGCCGCAAAAGAATGAGCAACTCGGTCTTGTACTTATACAGAGACTCGGCATAAATCGCGTCGCGTCCTGACTGCTTAGAAGGACCAGGAACCGATGGCGACTCCTGCGGGCCGGCAATCACAGGCGAAAACCGTTGGTCGGCTGGCGAAGGCGGGGTAGCTCCGTCATCAGCGCCCTTTGTAAACCATGGCAGCGTTGACTGCATGTATCGGCTGGATTTCTTGGTCACGGGTTCGCGAGCCGATTTTTCAGCTGGAGGCGGCGAGCTGTCCTGTGTCAGAATCCCAACCACTAGACCATTGGGATAAAATAGCTTATTAAGTAGCGGGTCAGTGCGCCCATAACCCCCTAGGACAACGAGCATGTAACCCTTCCCTAGGATCAATCGGGGATCACTAGTGGACCTCTGACACCCCCCCCCACTGGGATGCCCGAAGTGCACACACTGGGATTCGAGCCCGAGACCTTCGCTCTGATACCATGTCAAAATCCCAACCACTAGACCATTGGGATAAAAGGGCTTATTAATTAGCGGGTCAGTGCGCCCATCATCCCCCAGGACAGCGAGCATGTAACCCTTCCCTAGGATCAATCGGGGATCACCAGTGGACCTCTGACTCCCCCCCGCACTGGGATGCCCGAAGTGCACACACTGGGATACGAACCCGAGACCTTCGCTCTGATACCATGTCAGAATCCCAACCACTAGACCATTGGGATAAAAGGGCAAGTAGCGGGTCAATGCGCCCATAACCTCCCAGGACAACGAGCCTGTAACCCTTCCCTAGGATCAATCGGGGATCACCAGTGGACCTCTGACATCCTGCTCCATGACTGGCGCTGTCTGCGGAGATAACTCTATCAACGGGAGCTAGACTACGAGCTAGGCACGGGGTAGGAGGGATCTCTGCGTTCGTTCCCTTAGTCGGTCTCTAGCACTTGTACATTCACGGGGCGAAACCGCTAGTTTCACTAGCAAAAGTTGAGAATAATAGGGGTACAAATAGATTGGCAAGGTAGACTACTTCAGAAACCTAGCATACAAGTCGACCACCAGCCCAGCACGAAGGCGACTTGCCACCTGGTCGACCTCAGGCGTCCTCAGGCATCCTCAGTCGACCTGCAAGGCTGGTGTGCCAACAACAGGTCACCATAGGTGCTCATGTGTGCGCACCTACTCCGTAGGTGCAAAGTGACGGTAACGACATGCATCGCCACGCACACTGCGCAGGTGCCAAGTCGACCACATGTCGATGGTTGCACGAGTCCTGTTGACCACGTGCCACCGAACCGCAGGTCGACTTTGCCGATCTACCTGGGCGACGGTCGCGAACCTCGCAGACCTCGTCGTCCGGGTAACCTGGTCAACCAGGTGTGTCATCCCAGGCCCGTTGACCGCCCAGGTCAACGACCACCTCATGTCGACTACACCAGGTCGACCACTCCCCTGGTCGACCAACTCCAGGTCGACAACCCACCTGGCCGACCAACCCTAGGTCGACCAGTATACCGGTCAGCCGACCACACCCAGTCGGCTTCCCCTGGTCGGCGTCACCCAAGTCGACGCCCTCCACTGGTCGACCTCCCAAGTCGACCAGCCCGAGTTGGCGCCCTCCCAGAGTCGGCGCCCTTGCAGTGGCCCTTGTGCAGGTCGACCAGGCCCGTCGACCAGCTCGCCCACTGTTGCAGGTTGGTTGCACTCCTCACACCCGACCCCGAGGTCGGCTCCGCCCAAGAGAGGACGGGGCCAGCAACAACTCCCGTTGATACTGTCGGGGATGCACACCAACCCTCCTCATCGATGTGTTCAAACGGGATTTTGTCGGGCGGCTCCAGATCTGGTGGCTTCTGGTTGTCGTTGACTTCCGCTATACTCAAAAACAATAAATCGAGGCCGGTAACTGCTTCAGAACGGACTACAGGCGGCTGGCGATGCGCCTCACCGCCGTGTTCGCCGTTTGTTTCCGTGCCGTCAAGGTGTTCACCCATGGTAAGCAGCGGGGACGGCCTCACATCTAAGCTAGCGACAACGAGAGGGATTGCACAGGCAAAGCACAGGCCACGGCTGGCTGCCTCTTGGTACACTAGAAAGAAAGGGGGAAACCCAGCTTCGGATGCAAAGCTTGGAGAAGAAGGGGCCCCTGGATGGCAACCACGGTGCATGGGCTGGGCGGCGTGGAAGCATCCCCACCTTGACGTCAAGATGGATGGCACGGTGCTTGCCAGCACAGCACAGGCCAATCCTAACGCATCGCATTGCAGGTGATGTCAACGGGGCAGGAACGTTGGCAGCCCTCCAGCACCACATGGTGGCCACGATCGGGTTGGCCAAGAAAAGATGTTGCATCAAAACGGCCCAATGATGTGTGGCGCCGTGCCAACAAAGCACCTCTCAATCGTGAATTTGAGGCAAAATTTCACAGGTTCGTCTCGCCCCGCGGTGTCCACTCCGCGGGAATCTGAGATTCCCTGTGATTGCGGTCAAATCCACATGACATAGGTAAGAATCGCTTTCAGTGTTAGTTTCGTTTCAACGTTGTGGCGTCAGTGTACTTTGAAAAAAAAAACTGAAATTTTAGTGTTGCCAAACGAAAAAAAAAAAAAAAAAAAAAAAAAAAAACTGAGATTTCAGAGTGGCCTAACAAAAAAGGCTGAAATATCAGTCCCACAAAAATCTTAACACTGGTTTTTCTGGGTAGGTTGAGAAAGGACTGCCAAAATCAGGAACTTCAGGGTTTTTTTCCTGATATCTGAGGCCCTGATTCACAGTTGGCACTAATCCACCGCAATAGCAGTGATTTTAATTTTATTTTTTCAGGGGGCTTTGTGGCTGCATTGAATACATGAAGCAATGTTGGCAGCAAATATACTCTGGCTTGTGTGATGCCCTCTGATCTGATGCAATAAATGCAACAATGCTGGTGTTCCTGGATTGGAAGACGCCCTGTTGCAGCTGGTGGCGTGGTGACCTGCTGGGCTGTTGCTTGAGTGCAGTTAGGCAACTAGCTGCTTCCCCATCACTATCATGTCTGACCCATCTTGGCTTGTGCTGCGCTGCCCATTTGCCGATGCCGATGCAGCCTAGTCTGAATCCAAATAATCGTCCAACAGACAGAATCAGCTGGGAAGATGCTCCGTTGCAGCTGGTGGCGTGGTGACCTGCTGGGCTGTCGCATGACTGCAGTGAGGCAACGTGCTGTGAGGAAATTAGCTGCTTCCCCATTACTACGTGTCTGACCCATCTTGGCTTGTGCTGTGCTGCCCACTTGCCCTCGCAGGTGCAGCAGAGTCTGAATCGTCACAGCTGTCAGCATCGCCAGCATGGTGAGAATCCATCTCCATTGCACCACCACAACTTGCAAATGCAACTCCAGCCTGGGGTGCAGGAGGAACAGCGCTGCCATAAACTGCAGCCATAACACATGCAGCAGTATCAGCAGCTGTGGCAGCAGCAGTTACATCAGCTGTTGTTGCTGTTGCTGCTGCTGTTGCTGCCGCTGCTGCTGCTGCTACTGCTCCAACGCTGCCGCCACGCCCTGAAGCCGCGCCACCACCACTGGCAGTAACAATAGTGTTCCCGCCAAACCCTACATCTCCAGGGTACGGAAATGACGAAGATGCAGATACTGCATCATCCTCAAACGAACCAATGTCAGGTGCAGCAGTCTGAACAAAGCGCATCGGAATACCAGCAGTGGCAGCAGGGGAGCAGGCCGAGGCAGCAGGCTGCGGCAACGTTTGCCCCGACCACGTGTGCGTGATGACAGGTGGCGGCGGGCGAGGCCTTCCGGGCAGCTGAAAACCGGGGAGCTGGAAATTGGGCAGTTGAAAAACAGCTGTGGTAGCATTAACAGAGGCAGCAGCACCACCACCACCAGCGCCTGATCCCACTCCGACCATGGGCCGCATGCCAGCAGCTGCTGCAGATGAAACGGCCAGACCTCTAGGCTGAAACGCGGCAGGAAATGCGCCCGCAGGGGAAAAGAGAGCTGGATCATAGGCTGCTGGCTGCTGCTGCGGCTGGCGTTCTGAAGCGGGGATTGGTGCTCCTAGAGCCTCGCCGTGTGCTCCAACTGCGCGTGCGGAAACACCATGGGTTGCCTCAACAGGAATGGATGCTGCTCCCATAAATGATGATCCTGGAACCACGTTTGCTGCTACAACGCCTGGTGGGCGAGGAAGGAGATGACCAGGATGATAAGTCGACGCGTGTGGATCGTGCAGATACATCGGGTGTTGCTGTTGCTGGGAGTTGCTGGAGAAAAAATCCTGTCGCTGGGAGCTGGTTGAGGGGAGATGATCCCTACCAGTGGGTAACCCTCCAGGAGTGTTGTGGTAGTGCAGCATCAGCATGGAAGCGCTGATGGGCTGCTGTTGATGCTGCGGCTGCTCATCACCATCCCAATCCATTCCTGGCGTCAAAGCCACGTCACGACTACCATCATAATCATCCTCATGATGATCACCTTCTTGATTGTCAACATGATTGTTACCATGCACATGGTTTACATGACTGGTGGTGCCGCTAGTGCTTCCCGCCTCGGGATCATCATTAGTCATGACATGCTCCTGATGATGAATGTGGCTCGTCCTGCTGGCCGCCATTTGCCTGAGCTGATACGCCGGTGAGACGGACTGCATCACCTGCGTAAAAGACGCCGGCCGCCATGCCGGCGCCGTGGCAGCAGCGGCTGCAGTGTGATATTGACGTTGCTGCAGCAGTCTTCCATCAGGCATGGCACCAGCTGCAGAAGCTTCCAGAGGAAAGTCATCATGGTGACCATGATAGTCATGACCATGATGATTCTCATCATCACCATGATAATCAGAATGATGGTCATGTAAAGGACCCAGCATGACTGTATCATCTGGAACTGACCCTGATGCATTCGCGTTCCCTGATTCATCCAGGTTCACTTTCAATCCTTGAATAGAGCTGAGCCGCTGCTGTTCCGAGCTTAGTAAGGTACAGGAGCCACCAGAATAACCGCCGCTTGTATTATTGGTATGATTCCCTCCTCGGTCTGATGATGATGATGCGAGAACGACGGACGATTCAGCCAGCGTAGAGACAGGATCCGACTGAATCGGCACGTGGACTTCCGCATGAGTCATGGATTGTGGGTCGCTCCCATCGATTTCAGATCTGCCACCATGACGCATGATGATGATGAAAACACAATTGCAACTGAATTAATTGAGCGAGGAGACGCCAGGTTCATTTCGTACTTAGTATTTCATCCCCAGATCAAAGCAGAGAATGTTGCAAGCTTACTAAGACAAACGCACGTTTGAAGTCGAAATTCCGCCATGGAAAGGCAATCGAATCGATCTCAGCTCAATTGCAGAGGATGAGCCTTCGACTAAGACAGCCTCTTCACAGGATATATCAGTGAAAAGAAAGTATCCTCGGTTTGAAAGGGGTAGTAATCAGGGAGTGCAGCCTTGCCACAAGGGTCGGAGCACCTATACTGTTGATGGAAAGCACAGCGACACGACAACTTAACATTCCTGAGATATCCTAGTCGTACCTCAACTTGCTAGGGCGTTTCGACAATCTACTATGCAAGAAATGCAGCACTGTACGCGCACTTGCAGCGTTGCTGGTTTGTGCAAGAAAGAGCCGTGAGGGAACTTGTGCTTGGATGGTTGGGTGCTGAAATCGCTGGGAAGTGGTTCAACAATGAAACCACGACATAACGCATAAAACCATTCTGATACCTCTAAAAGCACCTGGGATGGGAGATGTTCAGTCAGATGCTCCAATCAAAACCTCCTGTCCAATTTTGTACCACCATTATCTTCACGCCGTGGGGTACTACCTTCGTCAAGCTGGCTCATGGAGCTTTAGATTTATCAAGCGTAGAGTCACGAGTTCCCTTCGCAAGATGACGGCAAGCACCAACTTTGTCAATGCTATCCACCTTCTCTCGGATCACTCAGTGTGAGTTTCAAAATACTTGAATCACTCTTGGCTGTATACTGATAGCCCCGTTGTCTCTGGGTGTCCGTCTCATTTAACGAGTGAGCACTTAGGGTGTCTTACAGACGGTTCAGAGGACCATGTGTACAGTACCACCTCTCTGCCTTTGCAAGTGGGGTTCAATTGTCAGAGGTGGGGAGGGCAGAGCAAGGAGGAGAATGATACGATACATACGCGCCAGTCCACGCAATGGCATGCCATCCGATAGGGTTTTTTCTTTTCTGCCCGAGGCAGCATGTTGTCAAGTCCTCAATGGGTCGTCAGGCTTGACGACCCGTTTCTGCTGGGATATTCCGATGCATGCACCCTAAGGCAAGCTGATTTGTTTCATTAAACCATATTGAACCATACCTAGAGTCATCTCACCATATTGAACCGTGTTCTACAACCTTGCTGTTGTCTGGAAAGCGAAACCACAATTGCGCGAAACAAGGTGGGCAGCAGCAGTGAATTTGATGGCCGGCATGATTCCAACTCCACCTGCGCGAACGCCCAATTCCGGGCGGGGTCTGGTCTGCGCGAACGCCCAATTCCGGGCAACCATCCAGCATATGGGGAATTTCGTGGAAAGGCGTTTGAGCGCGCATGTAACATCAACGACCTCTAAAAACATCTCGGAAAGTGTTTGCATGGGAACTGTACTGAATATAGGGGACAAAAAGACCAGACTTGCTGAATGTATGAAATTCCAGTTCGGCTGCCCAAAACGCTTCGTTTCCGGAATGTACCCAGACCTGATGTCTACCTTGTGCAAACGCGCCGGTGGCATGATCTGAGTGGCTGTTATCCCGCCCAAAATCTCTGCAGCAAGGCGAAGAGTGGGAATCGAACATAATTGGATTTGCAATACTGTATTATTGGTTATTGGCTTCCAGCTGGCACAGTCATGTCCAGCTGGACACCACGCATTGCTGTTGACAAATCATATGGTGCTGAAAATCCGTGAATGAGTGACGCATGTACACTTAATGCCCGTGAGAGTCCTACCTGCTTTGGGGTTCCATGCATTTCGCACGGTTTCGTCAACGTCGCAACTAGCAAAATGAGCTTGTAAAAAACACTAAAGTTACACGGTTGTTTTTTTTTTTTTTTGCCTTCCTCCATATTATTCTGTACAGCATGTACAGCATAGAAACATAGAGCATAGCTACCCCCTAAAGACCTGAACTGACGAACGACCATCACCAACGGCCCAACACTCGCCCTAGGAAGGGAAGATCATGCCCGTCACCACCCACTGTTCTTTTCCACCCCGCTCACCCCCTTCCCCATCCCTCCCCCTCCTCCTCCCCCCCCCCTCTCTCGTTCCCCCTCACATCCGTAGATCCGACATATATGGGGCCTCCACCCAGAGAGCCTCCCCCTCTTCCAACCTATCCTCCCTCTCCCCATCGACCAAGTCAACGTCCACTCCCTCCATGGACAACGCAGCTCGCAACAAGACAACTCGAGCATGTGCTCGTTTTAGTACCACCCCGATAAGCGCCTTCAAAGATCCCAAGAGATATGACGAGAACGATATTTCATCTTCCCGACATGCCCCTTGCGACACAGCCAACCGTAAGTGAGCGTCCCTCTGCTGAATCAACCAACGCCTGAAACGTCTACCCAGGCATCCCCATGTCTCACAAATCAATTATGTCAACTGCAAACCTCGATTGCATCTATTGCAGTCATAAACATTGTTTTCAGAGTACCAACTCTAGTCACAAATAACGTTTGTGACACTTTCCTTTTTTACATATCTGTGAGAAAACAGGAATGAATGATGGACTAGAAAATGAGTTGGGTACAAATATGAAACCCTAGGAAACTGTACCCCATGGTGTCTACCCCACTACAGCCTAGACAGGCTATATGATTAATGTTTGATACACCCCCATAGGCAAAGTGGGGGAGAACAAGGGGTCACAAGACCAGTCAAGCAAAGCAAAGCAAAGCAAGCTCAGGGTGGATCACAACGTCACCACACATTCCGAGCACAGGTTCAAAGGCCACAAGGCCAGTTCATATGCAGGATTATATATAAGAGGTAAACAAGCAAGTGCAGGTATATATATATATATATCACAGTACAAGTAAAGTCAAGAGGTAAGCAAGTGAGGCCAAGTAGGCACAAGACCTAGCATGGTACAGAAGCGCTGATGATCACAAAGCTGAAGTGCCTTGGTGAAGATATCAGCAGTGTTGGCCTGAGAGGCCACGTAAGCAAGGCGCAGCTGACCACGCTGCTGCAACTCACGAGCAAGGAAGTAGCGAAGAGCAATGTGCTTCGTTCTGTGCTCCAGTCTGTGCTCCCGACACAAGGCCAGCATGGCCTTGTTGTCTACGTACAGAACTGGAGGAGAACGAGGCGGCTCTCCCAGGTCAGTCAGCAGGTAGGTGAGCCAGCGTAACTCCTGTGCAGCCATGGCCCCTGCATAGATCTCAGCCTCACAGCTGGAGCTGAGAACAGAAGACGAGCGGGTAGACCGCCACGAAACAGAACCGGAACCAAGGCTGAAGGTGTAACCCTGTGACGAACGCTGAGTAGCTAGGTCGTCAACCCAAGACGCGTCTGCGTGACCAGTGAGTACCACTGGACTCCGCCCTCCAAGCACGAGCCCCATGCCCGACGTACTGCACAAGTAGCGCAACACCCTCTTCGCGGCAGCCATGTGCTCTGGTTGGTGTCTCCCAGGAGCAACATAGCGTGCCAAGATGCTAAGAGGGTATGCGAGGTCAGGTCGTGTGCATGTCATCAGGTACATGAGGCAGCCCACAAGCTCTGGATACGAGCCACTCGGCTCTACGGACTCGTCCGAAGGTGGAGCTGAGAGCGAGTGACTGGTAGGCAGAGGAGTGGACTGTGGCGAGGAGTACGTAAAGCCGAAGCGCTGAAGGACCTGCTGCACCATGTGTGACTGAGTCAAGGTAATGGTGCGCTGTGCTCTGTCCCGGGTGATCCGCAAGCCAAGATAGCTTGTCAGCTCACCCAGGTCTGTGCACGTGTGTCTCTTCTGCAGTTCGGACTTCACGTGGGCGAGTGCCTCTCACGGGGCGCAGAGAAGGGTCAGCAGTGGAAGGAGCAAAACCAAGAGAAGCAAGAGTCGTCCTGAGCGTGTCGTGCCACTCACGGGGCGCCTGGCGGAGACCGTAGACTGGCCGCCGGAGGCTCCACTGGGTACCAGCAGGAAACGACCCAGTGAAGCCAGGTGGGCGGCGCAGCCAGATCTTCTCGTGCAGGCTGCCCTGTAGGAAGGCTGTG